TGTTGTATGTGCATGTACACATAATGGAGCACCTACACAATCTTTGCCAATGGTCAGGTGTAGCACAGCAGATTAGGTGTCATTTGTTGCAATATAATTGCTTCACGGATTTAAATAAGCTTTTACCTAGAAGTTTGCATGCTATAATAAACATTTTACCAATTGAATGCAACTGGACACAACTTCTTCCCCTTTGTTGCCAGGGCATCGTTTTTCACTTATTTTAAGGAGTAAAACTATTAGCCATAAGGATGGGAGGAGAGCATATTATCAGGGATGTTACCTAAAGAACTAAGGAAAAGGCTGATCATGGGATTCCCTTGTAATTTTAGAGCCATAGAGTGATTCTCAAAGTTAATCCATTGCACTTTATAGAGAATAAATGCCTCCACATTTAAGGAGGAAAGTCATAAAGCCACTTAACCCTTCAACTGTCAGAAGGCTGTGATTATGCAAGAGCAGCTCCACCATGGGTGTCCCATACAACAGTGCAGAATGTTACCACTGCTTTTCTATGCCATTAGAACACAGTATTTTTAAGTAAGAAGCTAGAAACTAATGAAGTTAGACATCAAAATACATTGGTACCTAAATTAAGAACCATAAACATGAATTCTTACCAAACTATTACACTGATATACCCAGAGGCTGCATTCTTCATAACTTGCATCTGTCGTCTTCAAAGCCAGTAAACTCTTTCCTGCTCCCAGCCCATCATCATAGCAGACCATCCGCACAATTAAATACAAAGAATGTCTATGTAAAACATCCTACAACATAAGGCAAACTCATGTTATGCATTGTTTTAGAAAAAGACACTGACATTTTCTGCATGCTTTTCACTACTGCATAAGTTGTCTTTTACAAAATCCTCAGTATTCTTTAGAAAGGAATGCTCCGTCTCTAACACTCCCCTAGTCCTAGGCAACATTTCCATCCAATACTGTCATGGCATTTTCAATCTTCAAATCAGGGCAATAGGTAAAGACTAGAAATAAACTAGTAGCAGTTTAGCACAGGACCAAGATATAATATGCAAATTGGTGGGGTTGAACACAGAGGGGAAAATATCTTGTATCCCTGTGCTGCTTATCAGTACATTCTCTTAGTTAGATTTGCAGATGTTCCATTGCAACCCTTCCATTCTGAATTTGGGAAGGGTTGGAAGAACCAAAACAAGATACAAAAGAATCAGGTTAACTGTGGCATTTCTGAAGAACTGCTTCAAGACAGGCTAGAACAGTGTGGGACTTCAAAAGAGCTGACCTCGTATAGATGGGACAAATGCTAGAACAAGAAGAGGGGAGAAAGTAAGCATACCGGAACAATGAAGAGGCAGTATGAGGTTTGAGGCCTGGAGTAGATATGTGCTCTTGTTTAGGGGCTGGGATTTATGATGGTGGAAGGCCACCACATTTTCAAGTCCCACTTCATCCAGTGAAGACCAAAGGGGACGCTGGTGGGGGAAAAGGAATAGAATGTATAATCCAGAAAATACTGAATCTGCTGGATCAGTCCTGGTCATCTTGGCCAGAGACTTTTATCAAAGAAGGAGGACAAGAGAACCATCACCTGGATAAAAATTACTGAATCCAAGGAGGGTGCAAGACTGTTTTGTTTTTAGTTTGGGATTCTCACTTGCCCCTAAAGGAGAAGATTCTTGCTGGCAGACAAGAACCCCAAATCACCCCTGCACCAGGAGGAGATTACAGACAAATTCTGAAGAGATCTGAGGCAGTTTTGCTAGAAAGTTAAGAATCTGCTGTATCTCTGTATTAAGCTTAAAAACAGAAATTGGGAATCCGACTCAGGGTACGTCTACACTTGCACCCTCTTTCGAGAGAGGGTGCAAATGAAGACATTTGAAATTGAAAATGAAGCCAGGATTTAAATATCCCGCGCTTCATTTGCATATTCGTCTTATGGCGAATAACTCGTAAACCTCATTGTATGAGGAACAAGGGTTATTTCAAGAGAAGGGTTTCTCTCGAAATAACTGTGTCTTAACAGCGTCTTATTTTGAAATAGCGCCAGAATGCAAATATGCAAATGAAGCACAGGATTTTTCAATCCTGGCTTCATTTGCCATTTCGAATGTCTTCATTTGCATCCCTTTCTTGAAAGAAGGTGCAAGTGTAGACATACCCTCTGAGATTAGAAAATCAGATGCTTTAAAATGAAAAAAAAAATTAGTCATCCAGTGTCCCTGAACTGCAAACTCACCCGAGCACTGACAAATGCCTTTCCTGGAGTTGGCCACCATCCAACTTCCACCAATAAAGCCCTTTAAACAAAAGACACACTTACATATTGATCAGATGTTGAGACTTTAATACCGTACTTGGAAACTCCCATAATGAACTCTTCTTCAGCTGGAACAAAAGGTAATTTTCCATCTTGCTTTGGAAGGAAACACAAGAAGTGTTAAGTGGACAGAGAAGATCATCAATGAAGATGTTCATTACAAAGAGTGCATTTTCTCTGATTTTATTTCTGCTTACTGGAATATTTCCATTAATGAGTCTGTTCGCCACAAAGCAATTTTCCTCTTTAAACACTACTTGATACAATGGGGAACACTGCATTTCTTTTAGTTTTTCAGGATTTGGAAGGGAATTTTTTTAAAAAAAAACGAAGAACGGGGTTCCTTTAGGTGCATTTTATGGTCCAGCTACACTAGCAGTGTACTATTTTAGGGACAAACAATGCAGGCAGAGGATTGTTGCTCCATACTACTGCACTGATGCTGATATTAACAATGCTTGTGCAACATTAGGAATACCTTTGTATATGGCTCTGAGTGCTACCAGCTAGGGATGTTAGAATTTAATGGATTAACCATTTAACCAATAAGTTAATGCGTATCGGTTAATGGTCTCAGTTAAATGCTGGCAGCTCCACTTCCAGGGAGGCTTCGCTGCAGGAGATGCAGTATAAAGCTACAGAGCCCATGCACATGTAACTGCTAAGATTTTTAGCGGATACACGGTTACTATATTACACAATTTTTTAACATCCCTACTGCCAGCATGTATGCTATACTTATATTTAATTCCTATCGTGTAAACTGGAATCTAGGAATCCAAGTATTAAGCTTGCAAAGGAACCCTGACCATTTTTTTTCTAAGAGCTTTTTTTGTTGTTGATTTTTGTAGTGTCAAAAAGAATAAAAACAACGCAGCTCTACGAGTGAACCAGAATATAGCTGAACACAGTGGAAATATAAATGGCCCTAAGTGACCAGGTTCTTGCTTTTATGCCTCCGCTGAAAATTTCCCCTGTTGAGACTGGCAGGCATAAGCAGTCATCTTTTATGGATAGTACCACAAGGGCTGCAGACAGACTCTCTGGAACTGTAGCTTTCTGCCACCAGCAAACCCCTGACGATATTTGTTCAGGCATGCCTCAGACCTGTGCATCAACAACACTGCTTCCTGCAGTATCAAATTTGTTTTCTGAGGTATATCTTTCAGCTCCTCAAGGGAAGTAGCTTAGCAGCTGCTGAGCACTCAATATGAAAGATGCACACTTTAATGCTGCAAATTATTTCCACAGTTTAAGACACTTCAGAAGTAAGACATCTGATCACATGATAAATACAAAGGAGGAAGAAACATACTGGTTTAAAATGTTTGATGTATTTGTGTATGTTCTGTCTCTTATAATAAAGACTTACCTGTGCCACATCTATGTAATTTATCAAATCCAATGGCCCCTCCAAACTCTTGCTCTCATCAAATTTCAGTTTTTCAATGGCACCAACATATTTAACTCTAAACTCTGCACAAGTATCCGAAATACTGTTGCTTTGTCCTATAACAAAAAACAAACAAAAACACGCTATAAATTTAAAGAACTGCTGTACTTAAGCAGAACCTTCTATTGTTCTTTTGGTGCTGGAAAGTGTCTCTGGTCTTTTCTAATATATTAATTTTGAATAATTTGTTCCCGTGGCACAAACTCTGGATCTCCCCACTGAAACAATTATGAAACAAGAATGGTAACAATGACACCTAATACTTTTGTATGACTTGATTCGTAGTGTACTAACCTTATGTTTCCTTAACTTCTGATGGCCAGATTTTAGCATGCTGATTGGCACAAAGCAAATTGGGATTACTTGTGAGTCTATTGGAAAGTATGGTCTAGAAGACTAACAGAAATATTGGAAAACTCAAATTTTCTTGTTTTTAAATGTATTAGAGCTACCCATAGTTTACAAAATAATTATTGTTTGAATTTAAATATCCCGCAGCCATGTTTGAAATCTAAGAATGGAGCATTTAGCTGGTACGGGAGAATTGTAAAATGAAAACAAATGGCAGTGAAAGTCTCTGGCAGCAGGGAACCTGAAGCCTTTCCTCACTACCTCCTCTGCGCCAGAGCCTTTCACTGATAGATGTAGCTATAAATTGCAGTGTGGACACAGCCTGCCTTTTACTGCAACATATGTGACACAGACTCTGGGAAACACTCCTAACACAGACTACTATTTTGCCTTCAGACAGGTGAACATTCTTAAACATGATACAACACCAAAACCATTTTATGAATACCAGCATTTAAGTATTTCTTCTTTCCTCATTAGAGACATAATCACTGAAACACAATGAGAAGCCAGTTCCCTGGGCTGGGGGTTTTATCCTCCCTTAGACCTCAGAGTTTTGGATCCAGGCCTGAAACTTTCTCCTCCTCCTTAAGCATGCTTCTCTGTAGCATACCTACATGTAAACAGAGGGCTAGACCAGAAAGGATGAGGCAGCATGCTGTTCACAGCAGCTCCAATCAAGCAAGGCTGAATCAAGCTAAGCAGAGCTGTGCCTAATTTGTGGGTAGGGCAGGGCACAGCAGAAAGGCTAATTAAGCTATTAGGCAGAGCGCATAAATAGGCACAGGAAGGAATTGGAAACAGAGGAAGCCGGCAGTAACGGATTAGAGAGAGACTGATTGCTCTCCACTACTTGTTATAAGGACTGTATATGTTATGAAGGTGGTGGGACTCCATTTATAACCAAACTGCACAAGGAGTTGGATCAACACAGGTGTCCTTTAAACAGAGCCAGGAGGCCCTGTTACAATACCCCATTGTTTCAAATATATCCAGACCAGTGATCCTGTGTCCTTCC